TAGCATTATCCCGAAGGCGCCTAGTCGCCGGAGCCAGGGGGGGGAAAGGCGCTCACGTTGCTTGCCGCCTTCGGGATACCGCTAGGTTGGGGAGTGGTGTTCTGCCTGGCTGGAGGGGGGAGTTGCCAAGCAGCTGCTCCCTTGCGAACTGGCTCCCGAAGAGCCGGGCACAGCCTCAGGGGCGAAGCAGCCATGAGGTGACCAAGCTCACGAGTAGCCGCCCGGTAAACTCCCTCTCCAGCCGGGCAGAGCACCAGTCACTGACCTAGGGAGTATCCCTAAGGCACCAAGCCACGTGGTGCTCTGCCCGCTTCCCAGCTTGGTACATTATGGATACCCCCTAGGTCAGTACATGGCGCTCTGCCTGGCCGGAGGAGGGAGTTGCCAGGCGGCTGCTCCCTTGCGAACTGGCTCCTGAAGAGCCGGGCACAGCCTCAGGGGCGAAGCAGCCATGAGGTGACCAAGCTCACGAGTAACCGCCCGGCAAACTCCCTCTCCAGCCGGGCAGAGCACCAACCACTGACCTAGGGGGTATCCATAATGTACCAAGCTGGGAAGCGGGCAGAGCACCACGTGGCTTGGTGCCTTAGGGATACTCCCTAGGTCAGTGACTGGTGCTCTGCCCGGCTGGAGAGGGAGTTTGCCGGGCGGTTACTTGTGAGCTTGGTCACCTCATGGCTGCTTTGCCCCTGAAGCTGTGCCTGGCTCTTCGGGAGCCAGTTCACAAGGGAGCAGCCGCCCAGCAATTCCAAAACAATAAACCTTCCCCTATAATAAGCCCAAGGCCATACTTTGTAAGTAAAAAGAAAATAAGACCCTGTCGTATTTTCGGGGAAACAAGGTATTAGAGCCCATTTAATCAGAAGCAGCTATGTATATATGTGAAATAATTGGAAATACATTCACATCCATGGATTCTACTTAAATGTAACCATGAAAAATTATGTAAACCTGACTACAATTATAACATTTATTATTCTTCAGCTATATTCAGCTTTCAAAAACAAAGCTGTTTAATTGCCACGCACAATATGAAAGTCCAACTTCTTAAGGAAGATTTAATTTTCAGCATTAAAGTATTCCTGCAGATATTTACCTGAATTTCTATATTCTGGGTATCCATAATCGCTTCTCTTTGACTTCCTAAGCTAATGTTTTCATCTTGTGAATGAGGAAATGGAAGAAAGAGAAAATAAAGCATAAAGTAAATTATAAAGTTAGCAGTTTTCTTATAGTATGAACTTATTTTTATATTCAGTTCTATACATTTTTTAAACTTTCGGCAGGGGAAATCAGTTCTGAAATGTGGATTCCTAATAAGTCTACTCAGAATGAAATACCTTTAAGCTTAACAGCACTTTCTTCTAGGTAGTGATGTCTAATAACCTATGCTCAATTTTTTATAATTATCCATTTTAGTTTTCAAAACTTCAGAGACAGTATTTTTTTAAATTCATGATAATTGCAAATTAAAAATTTTATGCATTCATGACAACTGCAAATTTCTTAATAATCATTAGTAAAAACCTAGAATAAGGGAATAAGGAGCCAAGTACAGCTGCTTGGGTACAAACAAAATCTCTCAGATGGATCATTCTATCCCAACATTTGTGATCAATTAAAGAGCTAGTAACTACATTTGAGGGAGGATATCTCTTCTGATACCTAAAAGCTGTACCCATATAAAATAGTGGCAATTTAGATCTTTGCTGGTGTCTGGGTGGATTTAAGAGAGCACAGGTGGTATCAGTATTAGTGATGGCAGCAGATTGCATCAGTATTAGTGTTATCAGATCAGATTTGCAGAAATCTGGTGCATCACTAAAGCTTTTTGCTGCAATCCAGTGGTCACTAAGCATATAGGATGTGTTTGTCCACACCCTACATTTATCTTCTGCTCCACCTCTACCCATCATCTTGGCCTAGCCAAATGCCTTGTTTAATCTATAGCCGTGATGGCGAACCTATGGCACGCATGCTACAGGTGGCACGCGGAGCCATTTGTTAGGACACGCAAGGCATTGCCCTGTCAGCTCCAGTGCGCGACTTCGGCCTTCATTTTAGGCCGTTTTTCACTCTCTGGAGGCTTCCCTGAACGGACTTCCGGTTTGTGCATTGGGCCATTTTTCTCCCTGCATAGGTTTCATGGAAGCCTCCTGAAGCCTCCGGAGGGCGAAAAACAGCCCTACGGGCTTCCTGAATCCTCCGGAAGGCAAAAAATGGCCCTATGGGCAAACCGGTAATCCGTTCCTGAACTTCTGTTTCCCCGTAGGGGTGTTTTTCGTCCTCCGGAGGGCCTCCAAGCGGGGCGGGGTAAGCCGTTTTTGCCCCCCCCCCAGGCTCCTAGAAAGCCTCTAGAGCCTAGGGAGGGTGAAAAATGGGTCCATCGCACACCAAAACAGGGGGCAGGGTAGGGTCATGCGCGCATGTGCGTGGCCAGAGGAGTTGCACGCATAGAATTATGGGTGTGGGCACTCTCCTGCTTTTGGCGTGTGATGGGAAAACGGTTAGCCATCACTGAGGGTTAGGGATTGTTCTCCTCCTACCCTTCACCGCCTCTTTTTCACCCCCAGGGTTTCTCCTCCAGTCTTCCACCTCTACCATTTCGCCTCTGCTGTTATGGCCCTAGCTGTTCGTCCTGGGTAATGGGACTCAATCTCTTCCATCCCAGGCCCTTCCTCACGGGCCTTTGGGAGAAATACTCTTCACCCCAGCCAGCCAATCAGAGGAAGGGAAGGGAGAAAGAGAGAGATAGGGAGGTAGAAAGTGTTTTGTGTCAAGTTCCCAGTTGCCTCGGGTCAGAGCTAGAAAATCCTTTGCATTTGCATTCCCCCTACCCTGAAATGTTGTGGAATAGCTAGAAAATCTTTTGCATTCCCCCCACCCCAAAATGTGGGGAATAAGTAGAAAATCCTTTGCATTTGCATTCCCTCCACCCCAAAATGTTGGGGAATAGCTAATAAATCCTTTCCATTCCCCCCACCCCAAAATGTGGGGAATAAGTAGAAAATCCTTTG